TGCAGGGGAATAGTTCCTTAATAAGTGGCACCCTCGATTAATCGCCCTCCTCTCAATAAGCGCCTCTCCTTTTAGCCGAAATTTTAAATCTTCGGGTGGTAGAGGACGAATTTTCACTAGATGCTCTTACAACCACATTAAACAATAAAAGCTTGTATACTGATAGAACACTGTTCCTTACGGAGGTAGGCAACCCTTGCATTTTAACTACGAGCTATCGATGGACTGAGATGTTAACAGAATGACAGACCCAAAAGAGGTTCTTTCCTACCTTTCAGTGGAAGATCAAATTTGAAAGTGATAGGGTTGCACTTAAATTGAAAAATAAAACTTGACAATCAGTCAAACAATTTGTCAACCAAAACCATGCATTGAAAGTGAATCCCAAGATATGGATAACGCTGGGTCTAACCATGACTTTTAACCCAGGTACATAGTAACTGTCGTGATAGCCTAAGAGAAAAGGTTATAATAAGTGGGGATTTATTGACAACTAAATAGCTTGCACTTACAAATTATCCTTTCCCATAGTATTTGCATCCCCACTTACCGGTGCAGGTTTTGAGAATTCTTCGTTTTGTTCCTACAGGGAACAAGTCCTCCAGGGTGTCATCATTTCTGTTATCAGACCATCCAAAACCTCTGAACTGAATTTCACTATCAGCCAAAGAGGGTGTCTTGTCCGAAACAACCGTGTAGATCATGCTTCGGTCCTCAATTGGATTGCTTGGATGTAAGGGCAGTGCAAGAGCATCACGAAGAGTGAAGTTTTGAAAACTGTCCGATACGTTGATTATTCTTAATTTGATTGACATTTTTAAGTGATCTCATTTATTTATACACAGCCAAACAAACATGTATGCGGCACGTGTTTTATCGCCCCATACTTACAACGGGACGTTTTAGTGTGAGTTCCTTTCGAATATGCAGAGAGTTGTGAGTGGGAGTTTATCGAAGCGTTTAAATAAAATCGTTAAATCAAGTGAATAAACCGTGACTTAATAAGGAAGCGTGGTACCTTTTAGCTTTTTCACGTTTTCGACAAGCTGAAACGTCCATCTCTGAAAAAAAAAATGTAACGATGAAATAAATAAGTTTGCTATCGTATGTCAATTTAAGGGCCTGTTTACATGGAGGTGGGGGACCCCAGGTAGGTGAGGCAACCCACCTAGCCGTGGTCGAAAAATAAAACGCGGTTTACATACAATCTTACAATCCCGGGGTGCTAGGGTGAGATTTCTTGAGGTTGTTGTCGCGCTTGTAATTAAGGAGTTTGAGCAGAGGCGTCCCACACATGTGTATTTAGCTGTAAGCTGGTTAGCCCACAGTCTGTGATCTTAATTTTTTTAAACTCTCTCCTCAAAATGGTTGGTCGTGGATGAGATTATTGGGCTGGAATCTCACCTGCTTTACAGTTCTGACAACATTTCGGTGAACTTCTCAAAACATCCACGTCCATAATTCTACTTCCATGTGGAATGCAATTTTCCTTCTTTATTTGTTTCTGATTAAAATTCAAAACTTGTACGTTTTAATGGTAATTATGTTATTTGGTTGTAATTGTAACAAAACATTTGAAGGAATTTTTAAATGAAATGTCAAAATGTTCAGGTATAATCATGTTAACAAAATGATTTGCTATGAACTACCTGTGGTATGATACAAAAGTTCAAATTGAGAACAATTTTAGAGCTAGGAAAGTCTTGATGAAGCACATGTCTTAAAACTTTAGGTGAATTGCTTGGTGCCACGTATAGCGAAAACAAGATTTAAACCACACCTGACTTAGACGGGTTTCTCTTTTCTTCGGTGGGGACCAATCTTCCACCATTCCTTGAAACTCTAATTTCCTCTTTGCCCTCCACTCCTTGTTCGGGACAAAAAAGATAGCGGTAAGTAGAACGCGACTCGCGATAAAAGTCTCACCGCCGTGTTTATTATTGTTTTTTTCTTTTCTTTTAAATACTTGCGCGCTCGCGCCATTCGTACCCATGCTTCGCGCGCCAAGAAAAACTATCTAGAGCCACCTTAAGCACATGTAGGAAGGTGAATTGGAACAGAATTCTACTTAGAATTTTCAATTACATTTAACTCTTTGTAAATATCAGGGTAAAGAGCAAGCGAGAGTGCTCTGATATAATTTTTTCCTTATATAACAGAGTTGCTTGATTACAATATCGTTGTAATAGAGAACATCAACAAAAACGTGATTGCATGGTATCTGTCACAATCTGACACCTGTCAATGAGAAAGCACGTAAGAAAAAGGCACATATACTCTTTTAAGAAATAAAAATAAGAAAAAAAAAACGACAAATGACCAAATTGAACGGACTCGCAAAGACTTACCGAAAGCGTATTTGTAGTAGGTCTGAAAACTTCGCTCACCATTTAAAAGGATACAAATATTAAATGAATAAAAATTCCATCGATTAATTCAGTTATCAACAAATACCTCACAGTCTTAACTTTCTCAGTTTCTTTTGTGAAGGATTAAAGTCAGTTACAAACAGTTTTTATGCCGCGTGTCAACCAATTTATTAATGACACATTTGCTACCAAAAATTCATTTCGAAAAAAAAATTCCTTGAAAGTATGCCCAACCGGCAAAACAAAATTATGAAAAATTGCAAAGAAGCTAGGGATGTACTCAGCGACCCACGAACGCGTAATTACCTTGCTCTTGGGCAGAGATAAGAATAATTCCGGGCTACTAAAAGAACTAATTAGATTGCAGAATTTGTTACTCTGCCCTCTCACAAAAAAAAGCAATCCTCAATAGTTCTCCTAGGAACTCCACTCATGGTTATTAAATCGACTTCAGCACTGTTGACGAGTCTAGTAGTTAAGCCGTAGCAAACCTTAACTTTTTCTTCCACAAATTTTACTAAATTGTTTGTGAGAATAAAGGCATTAAAAAAAACTAAACATGATCTCGTGACTCTGGCATTTTCCCCCAGGCGTTTGTTATTAGCGATATGCAAACATGCCTTTAGATGTTTAAAAATAACACTTGAGTTGAAGTCGTAAATGGTGGGTGGCGTCCATCCATAACTCGATATACGTTCGCTAAGCAACAAATGAACAAATTCTTAATTAACCCGCAGATAAAATATGGGAAATGATCCCTGCAGGTCAGCTGTAGTTAAAAAGGTAAGAAAGCAAGCATTTAAGAATTCCGACTTTGATAAGACTTGGATCTCCCAAGTTTTTTTCTCTAAGTTGTTTGAATAAAGGGCATAAAAACACGTAAATCGTGCATGATCGCGTGACTCTTGCGTTTTCCCCCCAGAGTTATTTATTAGCGTTATGCAATCATTTCTGTTGATGTTTCAAAGAGCACGTGACTTGAAGGTGTGAACGGTGGCTGGGTTTTGGAGTGTTGACAAACTTCTCGATCGTAGCTCAACCAGACAGTGCTTTGCTCTCCAGCGTGGAAGACATCTTGCTGACCACTCACAAGACGGATCAGGATCTCGCGCAAACGGTAAGTTGATATCCTGGTTTTGTTGGTCTTCAATCTTCCACAGATACATTTTCTGCCTGATAAATACTAGATGTGGTCAAACAAAGTCACCGTTGTCAACGTTAATTGATTGCATTCGCACTAACTTCAATAAACCGCTGCATGTGCAGAGACATTTTGAAGAACCTTGCAGTGGTGTCCCAATCTCACTTATCGATCACTGAAACTTGATACTGTAGGTAACTTTCAATTCAACCCACTTTGTAATAATTGGCTTGCCATATTTAATACATGTATGAATAAACGATGGGTAGGTTTGAGAATGTTAACAACTTTTTGATTGTAGCTAAGACTCTCGGTGCTTTACAATTTTCAGCCTGGAAGACATGATCTTGCTGAACGTTTACATGACGGATCAGGATCTCGGGCAAAGGGTAAGTTAATTGACATCGTGAGATTTTTTTGGTCTTCTTGTTGAGTGCAGTTGAATTCCAGAAAATATCACCGAACTTCCGCTTTATTAAAGCACGATTTAGGTCAAGCTTGTTATTTTAACGAGGAAAACCTACTTCTGTCTTTGTGCTTAATCGAGAAGAAGTCTTCGCTATCCAGTAGCAAATTATATTGTATCCCCACAAGGTTGTGTTAAAAGCACAGCAGCATACAGATTTGATAACAGAGCAAGTTAAGTTTGCTCGGTACTTAATCTTGAACATGTTTCGCTTTGAATCACCTCCTTAACGAAGACAATAGAATAGAAATATATAAACAAGATCGATTAGAGACAAAGTAGAGTCAAGACTCTGACCATTGCCATCGATCATATCTTCAGAAATTAAGTTCTGTCCTTTACATCTCTCGATTTTCATTTGGACCCTCATTGATAAGTCGCAGAATGGCCCCGTTTCTGATATTTTGCGAGCCACCTTTACCAATCGAAATGAAAATCTCCTATTCTCATCTAAGGAAATCGTAGGCTGGGTTGGCTTATACTCTGTCTAAGATCATTATTGCCAAAAACAATTTCCCTGATCGAGTTTCAGTGCTGTAGTTAATTTGGTCTTCTTGTTTAAAGCTGTGGAAAACACAAAACTCGCTCCCTTTTAAATTTAGGTGCAGAATGTCTTTTCGTTCAGAAGGAAATTTATTCCCTTAAATGTTCAACATTCATGGAAAGCAGGCACATTTAAGAATTAGATAACTATTACACTGATATGTTTTCTGCCTGATAATGCTAGATGTGACCAGATGTGGTCACATAAAGTCACTGCTATAAACGTCAATTGGTGCTATTAATCAAGAAAAGATACACACTAACATCGATAAACCACCGCATGACATTTTGAAGAACCTTGATGCAATGATGTCCCAATCTCACATATCGATAACTGAAACTCGATATGTAACTTTGAATGCAACCCACTTTTGTAATAATTGGCTTGCCATAATGCGTGTATGAATAAACGGTTGGTGGGTTTTGGAATGTTATTAGCTATTTGATCGTAACTGACACCCACGGTGCTTTACAATTTTCAGCTTAAACGATAACTTGCTGAACATTTACAAGACGGATTGGGACCTCGGGCAAACGGTAAGTTGACGTCCTGAGATTTTGTCGGTCTTCTTGGTACGCATTTCAGTTGAGTGTAGTTGAATTCCAGAAAATATCGCCGAACTTCCGCTTCATCAAAGCACGATTCAAGTCATGCTTGTTATTTCAATAATGAAAAACTACTTCTGTCTTGTGCTCAGTTGAGAGGTAATGTTTTCGTTATCCACCACAAGCTGCAGCAAATAATTACATTTAATCCCTACAAGGTTGTGTTAAAATCAAAATGCAGCATGAAAATTTGTTAACATAGCAAGGTCAATTTGCTTGGTAATTAAACTTGAACATGTTTCGCTTTGAATCACCTCCTTAACGAAGACAATAGAATGGAAATATATAAACGAGATAAATTAGAGACAAATTTGAATCAAGACTGACCCTTATCATCGATAATATCTTCAGAAATTAAGTTATGTATGTTAAATCTCTCGATGTTCATTTCGACCTTCATTGATAAGTCGCAGAATGGCCCCGTTCTTCGATATTTTTCAAGTCATGTTTACGAATCGAAATGCAAATCTCTGATTCTTGTCTGAGGAAATCGGGGGCTGAGTTGGCTTATACTCTGTCTAAGATCATTATTGCTAAAAACAGTTTTCCTGATCGAGTTTCAGTGCTGTTGCTAATTTGATCTACTTGTGGAAAGCTTTGGAATGTACAAAACTGCCTTCTATTTTAATTTAGGTGCAGAAGGTCTTTTTGTTTAGAAGGAAAAAAATATTCCCTTCAAAGTTCAACATTCATTTGTGGAAAGCAAGCACATTTAAGAATCAGATAGCTATTACACTGATATGTTTTCTGCCTGATAAATGCTAGATGTGACCAGATGAGGTGAACTTAGGTCACTGTTGTAAACTTTGATTGGTGCTGTTAATCAGATAAGGGTAAACAATGGAAACTTGGCACTCAAGCTGATGGGTTTTTAACTACAATCAGTAGTATTCTCTCTAATATTTCTTATACAAATACAGAAGTGAGATATCTGCATGAAAATTTACTGTCTCAAGAAGTAGTTTAAAGGATGTGTTCTGGCATCATTTGGAGGTGGGGTGAAGTGGGTTAATAGGCTTGACAATTATTTCATACCTCTATCCCACCTAAAAGGCCAACACATACTTTCACATCAAGAGAATCAGTTTACATTCTCTTGTTTTACATTAAAACTATAACATTAAAGGTAAATAAAATAATTTTTAGTTTAAAGAAAGCACACTGATCTCTCCACACAACACACAAGTTGGAAGATGTTGACAGCTTGCTTTTAGATAGAGACTCACTTCAATAAACCACTGCATGTCCAGAGACATTTTGAAGAACCTTGATGCAAATTACGTACAAGGAGTGACACTTGTTTGAATATTAAGACTCCTTTCGACTTCACCTCCTGGAAGCAAGGGTTTTTAAAGCAACAGTTGGAGAAAAGCCAAAAGCCATTTTTCATTTTAAATTAGGAACTGATTTTCTCTGGTTTCATCAACACCAGACCAGTAACTGCTTATAAACTTCACATTGTGGTTTTGCATGCTGCATTTAAAAAATTTTACCCACCTGAGGGGGAAATAATGGTTAGAATACTTGCTCTTTGAAATCTCAAACTGTGGTTTATAGTTAAATATGGAGAAATATGGAGCATACGTGATGATGATGATGATGATGATGAAGTATTTATTGAAAAAATCAGACTTAGCAGTAGTCAGTCTTTACAGTCCAAATCATTAATAAAAGGGACAATTTAATATCTATGTTTACCTCTGATGTTTATCTTTAAATTATTTTCTGATTTTGTCTGTTCACTTCTAGGAAAACTTTGAACACAGATCCAGTTTGTTATGATGGCAGGACCTAGTAATGACAAGTGCAGCAGCTCAGTGGTTTGCAGTGAAGACCCTCCACCTCTGAGTATTACACTGAAGAAGACAAGAGATCTGCCTAGGAAGACGACAGATTGGAGCATAGACCATCTTCCAGTTGACATTCTGCTTTTGACTGTGGAGGATTGCGGGTTCTTGGCTAGTTATTATTACTTGAGAAATCCCTTTAAAAGCTATGAGAAATCCATTGGATTTGTGTACTTTGGAAAGATGGGTGAAGATGAAGATGAAGGTGGGTCCGTGAAAGTTGCCATAGTGAGGTGTCCTAAAGAATCTTCAGATCCTGGAGGTTCTCAAACTGCCGCTAAAAATGCTGTCACACTCCTGAAACCCAAGGCTACCTTTTTGGTTGGTTTTTGCTACAGTCTGAATCTTAATAAAGCCCAGCTAGGAGATGTGGTGATATCTTCAAAGCTTACAACAGATTTTCACAAAACCCCAGTGAGTAGGGATGTTGGTAACCTTGTCAGAAGTGCAGCTGATGGATGGGAGGCACCATTAGAAAACCCAGAAGCACGAGAAGTCAAAGTACATTGTGATGGAGAGATTTTTAGTTGCTCTAATTTGATTGATACTGAACAGCAGTGTCAATCACACCCTGGGGCAATTGCAGTTGATATGGAAGGAAAAGGTGAGAATTACTCTCAAAGTTACTCTTACTTGGCTTCTGGTTGCTAGATTCTTAAGCCAGGTTCTTGTTGGAGGCAAGGTACTCTATACTTTTTGTTTGAGGAAACTCTTTCTTGAATTCCAAATTCTTACTCTTTGATATACTGTTATGACCAAAAAGGTACACTGCCCGACACATTCATACTCTCTAGGAAGAGTGGTGCTAATTTACATACCTACAGAAAAACACAAAATCTCTTAAAGACTTCCAGTAGCAAAGGAAAAAACATAAAGAGTGATCTGCAGAAAAACGAAGCTTCTTTTGCTCAAATTAATTGTAACTATCTCCCTATAATATTATTGTTTAAATCCATTCCAATCGTTATTGCTTTTTTTTTTTTTTCATTTTTCTACCTCAGGCCTGTTTGCAGTAGCTCATGACATGAAGGTGGAGTGGATTGTTGTTAAAGGTGTTTGTGGTTTGGTACAGGGTGTTGCATCAACAAACAATTCATGGAAGACTTTTGCTTGTGTTATGGCAGCTTCTGTTGTATCCAACATGTTGAGTAATTCTTTTGTGTTTAAAGACTGGCCCCATTACGGAGGTACGTGTACATTATTGTAACAGCTTTGGTTGTGTCTTCCAAGAGATCTTGTAACTTGCTTGTTTTCCTTGGTATAATATATTGCTATCTGCTTATGAGAACATGGAGACCAACTGTGGAATTAAATATGTATCAGAAAACTGAAAAACATATGCATTCTTTGTTTTTCAATCGCATTGCCATGAAAAAGAACTTTTAAAAGTCTGAGATTTCACTTTGGTAGCTTTAATACCCATTTTGAATTCACAAATAACATTCTAAAATTTGAGATTAGAGGGGGTTATTAAGAAATTACTCAAACATGTTGAGTAACTCTTTTGTGTTTGGAGACTCAGGCCTTGTTACGGAGGTGCATGTACATTTTTGTAACAGCTTTGGTTAAGTCTTCCAAGAGATCTTGTAACTCGTATCAAGAAAAGTGGCGCAACATTGTTAACAACAGGCTTTGCTATACAAGAGAAAAGTGATCCTAACCCCAGCTAAATCTGTTGAGATCTTTCCATGTTTGAAACTGTAATTGTTTAGATCAATCAGAATTTTGATTCTACCAAGGAATAAGATAAAGATGTAAAAGAAATTGAAACTGAAGAGCTCAATAGATATATACTGTATGTGGTAATCTATTCATTGCTAACAAGCTTTCTTTTTGATTGGTGTTGCCTCAATATCATGTTCTTGCATTTCAATGGCTATATAGATAACAGGTAAAAGAATTTTGTTATATTAGGATTAAATTTGACTGTTACAATTTGACAGATGGTGAATTGAAAATTAAGGTTGATGTGGATCACTTGAAACCTGAAGAGCAGAATAAGCAGACTGGCATGCTGGCAACAGAGTCTGACAGATGCCAAGAGGTTCAGCAGCCTAGGGTATCTGCTACATCAGCTGCATCTGGAGATGTGTCTTGTCCTAAAACAGAAGATCTCCACGCTATTAAAGAGGAATTCTTTCTATCAATTGTTAGAAAGTATTTCAACGCTACAGAGCTACAGTCCATTGAAGAGTTCGAAAAATTTTTGGAATATGCGACATTAATGAGATTTGCCATTATTGGTGTCTCTAGAGGAAGTTTGGTGATTACGGTGAAGTGTGAATCTCTAATGGACTTGGAGAAGTTGCGGGCAGATTATTTATCTGGTCATCTGGGTGAAATGGTTCAAAATTGTTTTGTAACTGAACAGATCTTGAAGGAACTGAACCTGGCTGAGCTGAGGCTGAAGACAACAATGGACATAGAAGAGTACAATGCATGCAAAATGTTCTTTGAGAAAAATGCAGTTAGAGGTTGGTAGACAGAAAGTAACAAGACCTGGTCCTATCATGTAAAGGTTTTTGAATGAAACCCAACAGTCTTTCAACATGGAGTATGGTAGGGTACATGTCATGGAGGGATGAGTCCAGTTTTTTATCAAGATTGATGGAACTTGTCTCATGAATAAACTCATGCCGACTACAGCATGTAAACCATGCCAATGCAAGAAGTAGTTTGTCTGCAAGACATTTCATTTGATGTTTTGTGTTTCTCAAACATCTCCCCCCAGTAACCTGTTATCTTTCCTACTAAGATATCTGGCTTGATGTTTTCCTTTCCATAGGGTTGTATTTGTCTTTCCTTAATATGTTAGATTACATACATCACTCAAAGATTAATTGACAAGATTTTTGTTGGAGGGGCTATAAAAGATAATTATTTCACTAGTTTCTGTGTGTTGGGTGTTTTCAAGAATAGTTTGAGTTGTGTTTATGGTTTAAAGTGTTTGTCATCTTGTAAACCTGATTTTAGGTGCTTTATTCTCTGAATTCCACCCCACAGGTTCAACCAGTGAAGGCCTGCAAAAAAAGGAGCAACTGGGAAAATGTGAACAGAAGACAAAGATTATGGAGACAGCAAAATCAGAAGGTGGAAAGGAAATTAAAATATTTTATTAAGTTATTATGGGAATTAAGTTGTTGTGAACAGTTATAACATTCATGTGATAAATCTTCAAAGAATTATCTTGGGAACAGAACATTTGAAGAGAGGCTGTGAATGCTAATCTCTCTCTGCATTTTTTACCTTTAGATACTACACCCCACACTGTAGTACCTACTACTGGTTATGGAAGAGAACTAGAACAATCAAGGGGAAGGACAGGTGAACAGGATGCTCAGTTTGAACTTATTTTTCAAGTTAATGTAATTGAAACATGGTTCTTCATGTTGGTTGAGTTTTTCGTTTTGTTATTGGGAAATAAAAAACCACTTTTAAGTCCATTTAGTTGATTTTAGCTGGTATCAAACCATGTTGAAATGAATGAAAGAATGTGGGGTTTACCACTTTTAGTTGTTTTTCTTGACTCATTGAATTCTAGCATGGGTTTCAGTTCCCTCTCACATGCTCCAATATCAACTAAGGAAAACAACATGGCAAATCACTGACTTGTTGTTTTGATGTATTGATATTGAAGAAGTGGAAGAATTCATGGGTGCATAAATTGGCATGAAAAACTGTGGAGTGAAGCTGTTAGGAAAAGAAAGGAGAAATGAAAAAAGAACCTGAGTATGGTTTTAGTCATCTTTTGAAATAGAAATTAATGTTATAAATACCAAGAATGCTTCTGTCAGCAATTATGAAAAATGATACTGGTCAATGCAAATTATTTCAAAGGTGTTTTTACCTCATTCTCTTCTCTAGTTTAAGGAAGTTCTGAGTTTCCATTTGAAAATGAACATATAAATAAATACTTACAAGTAGACTGAAAAATTTTTTAGCTGTTCTCCACTTTTTTTTTCGGTTTTTAAGCTTCTTGGTTTAAAAAAGGCAATCTATAGTGCTCATGTACCTATCGTTAAATACAAGCTGGTATGCTTGTTTCTAACTATTTAAATAAAGAAAAGTCATCGAATGTTAATCTCTCTCTGTATATCTTTGTTTTTAGACACGGTTCCTCTCCTTGTATCTCCCACGTCTGATCCTGAAGAAGAACTAGAACCAGGAGAGCTACGTATGGAACTTCCAAGAATGAAAGGTGAATAAAAGATACTGTTAAAGGCTAAAATATTTTCAAAATAAAACCTGTATGTTGTCGACAGTAGGTCATCATCAGGGTGATGATGACCAAGTGTCGAAAATGTTTGGTTTTTACTTATTTTAGCCATGTATATAGCTCAATGCCATTAAATGTTTTCGTATTCTTTCCAGTAATTAATTTCAAGAAAAATTATTCCCTATCTGAGATATCAACTTTTTTTTCTGTCGTTTAACTTTTATCAAAGAATGCTGTGAAGTGCTCTCAGCCGTTATTCAATAACTTACACTAGCTCAGAGGTAGATGGCCAACGCACACGCAAAACCTTCGCACGTTTTTCACGTTCTGCGCCAAAAAAAAAAGGGCGTGCTAAAGCGTGTGTCTTAAGAGAGTTTTTGCTATTGTTGTTCAACGCGGTCAGCTTGTTTGTTCAGCACTGTTTCGGAAAACTATGGTTTTCTGTCTCAAAATGCTGCCAGCGAAGCATCAAATCAATATGTGCATATCTCAATATCAAAAGGACGCAAGGGCTGCCGTTCGTAAGGGCCGTGCACGGTGGCGCGAGCAGGGTGTATTAAAAGCTGCAGTGCCAAGCATGCGGCTCAGCGATAAGACAGTAGAATGGGAGGTAGCCAAACCCCAGATAAAAATTGGCAAATTTTCCTCCAATTCCAATATTTGTTATTTCTACTTGAAGTTAATTGCAAGTATTGGGAAAACTTCGAGTTTGAAATGTTTTCAAATTTCGCTGGCAAACATTAAAAGTGTGCGTCACAACCAGCTGTGTCTACAGACTCTGATCTAAACTGACTAGTTGACCTATGAGTGCGATCGAACTATCTCAATTGTTTTATAACTATTAATAGTTATGTATTTGATCGTGCAAATCACACCCGCTAGAAAATGAAAAGTGCACGAAGACAATTAGTCGTTTATCCCGCACAGATAGCTTACCGTTGATAAAAAGAAGCTTCAGTGAGAGGGTGATTTATCTTGTGATGAAAATCAAACAGTTCCAAAGGGATGGACCGTGAAGCCCGAGGTTAAATAGAGAATAAATATTTCATTTTTGCATGCTCAAATCCATCTGAAGTTATAGAGGTGAGCGCGCAAAACCGAAATAGATTCACTGCGGAATAAACTGCCAATTAGTTTTCCATATCAGTTCATGAAATGTTGATTATCGCGCACAGGTAGCTTACCGATTAAAGAAAGAAACTTAGGCTCTACTGGTATGAATCTTGTTATGAAAATCCATCTTACCGGAGGGTTGGACACAGAGGCCTGACGTTCCCTATTACAAAATAATAAGTTATTTTTTCATGTTCAATTCCATCCTTAGTTATAAAAGTGACACGTACAAAACCGAAATTCATTCTCTTGAGTTGGAACACTTGAATCTTCTGAGTAAATGCTGATTCGCTCTCCATATCTCCCTCTCATTAATTCTCCCTTAGTATTAGATTTCCGCATTGAATTTTCGGCAGTCGCATGAAGACTGAGCCGTTTAACTCTCACAATCTTCTGCAAGATTATAGCTATATTTTTTATTAATATTGACATTTTGTGAAATGAGAATCATTATAGTTCACGTCTCGTACATATTTAATCACTTAACGGAAAAAAAGTTACCATTTTGATCTTTTTCTCAATCGTATTTGATAGTCGATCAGTTCCTATTCTCAGTCATTTTGTTAGATACTTTTGATAGATAGATAGATAGATAGATAGATAGATAGATAGACGTTTATTAAGAATACCTTAATAGCAGCTGGAAGCTGAATTACAAAGGTGTACAAATTATATAATAGAACTATACAATAAAATCAAACCTAAAAGGGAACTAATTTACATATGGGCCCATATACAATTGTAATAGATGTCAATTAAAATGTCTTGCGCTTGCTGGAATGAAAGTATCTCTGAACCGATTTGTTTTAAAGGAAACTCTAAATGGTCTGCGTCGTCGTAACTCCATAAGTTGATCTCGGTTGTCGAAAGGCAGTAAG